GTGGCTCAAAGTACTGTCACTGATTGTCAAAAACAATATAATTGGGACTAACGAGCCTTGTTATTATGAAAAATACTGAACATTGCCATATGGCTATACTATGTTGTTATTCAGACAGAAAAGAAAAGTTCTCCAAACTCTGGTATCTTCTGCATATACATATATATATACATATACATATATACACATATATACATATATACATATATATACACATATATACATATATATGGCTGGTTATGACTTTTAAGGCTCTTATGAGAGCCCTAAAAGTCATGCGTTTGTGTGTAAGCAAGTATGTGTAAGGATGTGTTGGCAGCACCTACATCTCACCATGCTTTGGCATGGCTTGACAACATTTGAAACCTGCGTTAAAATACAACTAAAAATACTTCCCGCCTGCTTCAGCCATAGAATGCATCAACACGAGGATGAAATGAGGCTAAAATAATTTCTGCCTTTCTCCTTTCACATTACACCTTAAGCCGCCCAAACACCGTCCTCAGTCAGCATGCATCCATTCTTCTAGCCTGCTAATACAGAAAAGCAGCAGCAAAAATGTCAATTAGGCAAAGAGGGGCAGAGAGGCTTTGACTGTGTCCTCTGGAAATTTACGTGCCATTGATTTCCTCTCTGCCTGTCTCCCCCACACTCCACCCCCTCTCCCAGTTCACTGTTGTCTACTATTTGAAAGGCAGCAACACAAAACTCCACCTAACAGGGATCTCATCGAATCCATCAGCGACCGGCGGTGAGAGGCCGGAGGACAAGAGACACCTGAACTAACACGCAGCACAGCTCCAGACACTTACTGAATGATCCACAATATAATACATCATTCACTCTGACAGTGGACACAGTTGGCCAGCCAATGCAAACAACCACAAAAACATGCTGAGGGGGAGGTTTAAGGCTGGCTGTGACACTGGGCCGTGAATTAATTACCAGTAATTCAACCCTCACGCCATGTTTCAGCTGAAATAGAAAAAGGAAATAGTTTGAAAACCCTGTAACCGTTTTCACTCAGTGTTTACTGCATATTTATGCACATGTCATTAATATGCTTTTCACTGTTAACAGGTCATAATGTAATACTGCAAGTAATGAGTTGAACTGAAACAGAAACTATAAAACATGAATCGATTCATTTTACTTTTTTTCTTGCCTTTACCAAAAACGTAATATTACAATATCTGACTGGTCCAACTGATCTATGGGTGCTACCAATATATCAGCTAGTATTAGCTATTTGCAATTATATATTGGTATCATCATTTGTGACGGCAGCTAAATAAACATTTTAAACTTTCTACTCAACACTTATGATTGTTGCTATCGCTCATTTGTTCACCAGAGGGCACTCTGCAACTCCTCTGTTGGCAACGTATCTTTGCAATGCCACAAACACAACAACCAGCTGAGCCAAGCAGTTGGGCAAGAATGTAAACAAGAAATCCTCGACTTGTTGTGACAGTGAAAATAGTTTATTTTTAAACTGCGTAAGTAAGGATAAATTACTAAATATAACAAATGTAAGGGGGAATCTGTAACATATGTTGAATCTGACACGTGAAAGAAACGCAAACAGAGAAGGTAACATCGCATTTGCGGAGAAATGAATGTAACATGTCAAAAAGCCAAAGAATTGCCATTTAGAATAATTTTTTTAAACGTATAAATCTAGATAACTGCAGTATGTGTGACATTGTTCATGCAAAGTTTCATTCAGATTTCCAGAAGATAGAGTACATACAGTACAGATATCTATTTGTTTCTTTCAGAACAAATGATCTCTCTAAAACACTGGGATTTTTAAAGAATTATAAAATATAAAAATACAAAAAAAGTTAATTAACAACATCTGTACATCCTTGCATGAAAATACCTGTCAGTGTGATATTTTTTTTTATCTCTTCTGTGTATGATTTTGGAGATATTTTTATACATTAGAGCTATTTGTGACAGTGACTGTATTATTTAATACTGTTGGTACTTCTGTCCTTACTGTCTTTGAGCAGCTGTAACCACATCATTTCCTCTGGGATTAATAAAGTATTCTGGTTCTGATTCGTAGGTGCACATTTAAGTTAGAAAACACAGAAAGATAACGTTGTTGTGCCTTTAAGAGCTGTTAAAAATAGTTACCAAAAAAAGCCACTAGAATGTGTGAGCATTTCAGCATGTTGTGTCAGTCCAAATGTTAACAAGAACAAAATGCCAAGAGAGGTGTGAAATGAAAAATTAATAGATGATTAAAATTCAGCTGCTGGTAGTTTAAATGCTGGTATTATTATTGTTATTCCTGGCATCTGAGCACTCATGTGATTAAAGCCCAGCTTGGCAGACACACATGTATGCATGTATACACTGAATGCAAAAAACACAAGTCGCACTTTGTTTTTTCACAAGCTCACAAGCAAGTGTCACAACAAGAGCAAAAATCAAACATAAATAATTAAATGTTGAAACACATAAAAAACGAAGAATTACACGAGTAAAACTTCAGTAGATATTAGTTGTTCTTTTCATTCTACGTTCAATTGATTACTCCGTACACTCGGGCTGAAATATAATTAACTGCTGGGAAATCAAGTGGAAAATCACCTTTAATGGACTTGAGGCCATATTGATATAACTGCACGATATCTGATGGGGGTAAGTGGGTGTGAAAAATACTCCGAATGAGCTCGATCTCATTATGAAACCTTAACCAGAAATCAAACTCTCTAATGTGCAGGAGAACATCAGTACAACAGTATTTTCTGTAACCTCCTTGTGAGGAAAAGCTGGGACATAGGAGTTCTTCACCACTCTGAAAATCTGATGGCAGTACCTTTTAGCATGTTTAAAAATCCATGCAGCTCATGCTCAGTCATTATGCCCTAGAGCAGACACTCACTTTCTTCTGGGAAGAGGAAGAGCAAATCCTGTCTCCAATATTCAAAATCTTTCCTCCTCTGTGCATCCCTTTAACCTAAAAAGATTTAAAATCTGCCAAAACACAACCTAATAGCATCACAGAAGCAAGATGAGCTTAGATTTTGCTTCAAATTTGTCCCCTTCATATTCGTACATGATCCCATGTACATCTGATTTCAACATATAACCTGCAGCTGCATTTGGTATTAATTATACCACCGCCGATCATGGCTCAAGAGTTGGCAGTTCGCCTTGTAATCAACCGGAACCGGAAGGTTGCCGGTTCGAGCCCCGGCTTGGACAGTCTTGGTCGTTGTGTCCTTGGGCAAGACACTTCACCCGTTGCCTACTGGTGGTGGTCAGAGGGCCCGGTGGCACCAGTGTCCGGCAGCCTCGCCTCTGTCAGTGCGCCCCAGGGTGGCTGTGGCTACAATGTAGCTGCCATCACCAGTGTGTGAATGTGTGTGTGAATGGGTGGATGACAGGTTGTGTCAAGCGCTTTGGGGTCGTTAGGGACTAGAAAAGCGCTATACAAATACAGGCCATTTAGCAATTATAATTCTTGGCTTTCCAACATATGTTTGATTTCATCAAATGTTTTGATGTTTTTATTTCTTTAAATAGTGACCACACTGGACAGAATTCAATTACATTACAAGATCCAATTACAGCTCAAGCTGTGACCATCTCCAGACCTGGTTTGGCCAATGTCATCACATTTTACATTTGCATTTACACCTGAATTAAATGCCTTCTTACCTTGTCCTGATAAGACGTGCAGACACAGACTGCCTGTTAATAGCAGGTGTAAATGGGGTCACAAACATTCACTGTGACTCATCTGTGCCCCTGAGCTTTAAACTCAACCAATCAGCAAACTGTGGGAAACGACTGACATAATGGCTTGATGAGTCATCATCTCGAGAGAACTTACAGTAATATTGGAAGTATAACACGAAGCCTGATTTTTGCTGTGTAATGACATCCCTTTCATTTAGATGTAAATGAATTACGGAGCCACTAAAGCCCATGTGGTGAATCAAAAAACAATCATCAGTCATCTTCTGAATCATCTGAAAATAATCTGTTACACATCTGGCTCAAACTGACAGACTGACTACAGACAGAACAGTACCGGGAAACATATTAGTCCCTTTTAAATGTTTACTCATTTCAGCCACAAAAAGAAGAAGCCCACTCTCATACGAACCCGTCATCTCAAGATCACGCATTGAGACAAGGACTGCATGAATAGACAAAAGATGGCGAGACAATCCTAGAAGAACTATAAAGTTTGAGCACTTAGGCATTGTTTATTTAAAAAAAGCTCAAAAGCTTCTGTTCATTCACTGCATCTTGTACTTCAGTAACAATTTTTAACCCTGAAGTCTAAAGAAGGCAAAAAATTTGACGAATAGTCAAAAAGGTTATTTGAGAGGTGCATAATTCAGCCACAACATTAAAAGCACTGACAGGTAAAGTGAATAATTATATAAATCATCTTGTTACCATGGCACCTGTAAAGGGGTGAAATATATTAGGAAGAAACAGATCTATTACATTTTGAAATGGATGTGTTGAGTAGGAGGAGGGAAGAAAATGAGCAAAAGGGCCTGAGCACCTTTGACAAGAGGGAAATGTTTGGTCCTGGCATTAATGCGAATGTTACACTGACATGTACCAAAACCAAAGCAACACTGCAGGACACGTGCACTTCGTAAAGTCAACTGTATCTTCAGCCCCATTCAGCAGAACAATGCGTACTGCCACACTTTAAAAAAAGGTTTGAGGTTCAAGATGTTGCTTTGGCTTCCAAATGCCACCTCAACATGACTCTGCATGGCTTAAAGGATATGCTGCTAGTATCTTGGTAATTAGTACAACAACGTCACCGTAACAGGTCTAATGGAGAACATACCTTGATGGATCGGAGCAGCTTTGGAAGCACAAGAGGCAGCTACGCAATATTTAGACTGGTGGTTTTAATGTTGTTGGCCACTTTCAGGGCTGAATTGAGATTTAGGTTTGTGAGAATTCTAGGTAATTGCACCTCTAACAACGGTAGAAATGCCCAAACTTACCTCATCCACATTCTCAAAGGCATTGATGATGTCATAGGGCAGGCACGACAGCAGGTCGATGACGAACCAAGTCTTCAGATAGTTCATCCGAATGAGTTTGGGGTCAGAGATCACCTCTCCACCGGGCCCCACGAAGGTGGTGTGGAAGTTGAGAACGATATCCACCAGGAAGATGACGTCGACTACGCTGTCTAGCACCAGCCAAACAATGTTGTTCTGCTTGGTCTTAAAAGAGACATTGTAGGGCACCATGATGGCCGTGTAGAAGGTGAGGATGAGGATGACCCAGTCCCAAGTGGTCTTGAAGGTGCAGTAGTGAAGTATTATGTGAGGTGGTGTCTTGGGGGCTTCCTGCTTGTACTGCGGGAGGATGTCAGAGTTTAGCTGCAAAACCTGGAGGTGGTTTTGCAGATGGAAACAGCAATATGATTAGACTTCAGTTCTTCATCAAAAGCACCCTTAGTCTAAACAAAATACAACAGTAAATGTACAATATGGGGAAAAAACAGGTTAATGCTTTAGACATCTGTGGCTTTTGTACATTTAAGTGTACATTTTACTAATAACATGAATTAATAAGTGATTTTCCAGCTCTTTGGCATCTTTGTGTGTTAAAAACTTGTAAATATTGAACTGCCAGTTTTGTTTATGCATTTTATGCATTTCCAGCTCTTTTTTTAAACTCTGAGAATGCATAAGGGTAAGCTTTTGTTTTGTTTTTATTTCTATCTCTGGGCTCTTATAGTTGATTGTCTCTCAGAAACAAGTCATTTTTATCTGTTGTCTGTTTAAGAAATCCCTCCCTAAAAGCCCATTTTCACTTCATTAGTCAATTCCTGGAATCCTGCTAAGAGCAGACGGGTGAGCCATAGTAACTGTACTGCTGGACCTGCTATTGCATGAAGTGAAAAACACTGGAAACATTGGGAAACCAGTTTCATATCAACATTGTGGCATTGAAATGAACTAAAGGAAAGCATAATGCTGCAGGTTTCCTTTAATACTGATTTGAATTAGCAGAAAATTTTATATATGCAAGAATTCCAAAGAAAGCTAAAATTCCCCTGGTTCTTTCTCCAGCGTGAGTCCGATTTATTAGTTCATTAGAGAAAAGTTTGTCCTGTCAAGCGAATTTCTAACTGTCAGCGATGTTTGTAACAGCAGTCCAAGAAAGACGGTTGCACGTTTCTGTTTTTTACTAACTACATGCACTGTTTCCAGAAAGGAAACGAGAGAAAGGGGGAAATTAAATTAGTGAAATAGATGAAAGAAAGCTCAACAAAAACAGTCCTTGTTTTGTTTTTGTTTATTAAGTCTAACGATCATCAGCCCATGGTGCTCAGCACTGTGAAGGAAAAGTTTTTCCTCTCAGTTTTAATCTGTATTCATCACGTCTGTTCCTCTGTAAGGCTGTTGGTGACAGAAATGTATTATGAATACATTTTGGCTTGACGTGGGGAAGACACAGAAGGGGGACTGAAATTGGCAAGAAGAAAAGGAGAGAGGGGGGAAAGAATAGATGACCAAAAAATTAAATTAAAAACATTTTTTTAAAAGAATACGTAGTCTATTTCCTAGCGTGGTGATGATCACCCTTGCCAAGCTCAGCCACCTCTACAGAACAGACTCCAGTAAATCCAGCAGCTCCACATGCAGATCACACATTAACCATTCGACTCATTATTTATACAAAATAATAGTCTATTTGTGTCAGCTACAGAGCTGTAACATATTCTGCCGCCGCAAACATAACACATTAACAGGTTTCTGTATTGAGTGAAAGAAGCCTGTTAAATATACATATTTAGTAGTAATACAGCTCTAATAGTAAAATTGCTGTTTTTATAGTTACTACCAATACAGCTCTTCTGGTTCTGGTATTATTGTATTTGTGATGACTACAAGTAATAACCCTAAACTACTGATACTGCATGTCATCATCATTTTCTCCTGACAAAACAGTTGGGACAGCGTGGCCTCAGTTAGCCCAAACTGTCCTCACACTGGGATTCAGTTTGATGCTAAATAAAACGATGGATTGACAGAGCTGAGGTTTAACAGCAAGCTTCATAACATCAGAGCTCAGTCACTTCTAATTCTCTTCATCAAAGCTGTCAGTCAAACTGGTCAAGAGCTGCACCACAGCTCAGAAACGAGGCTGCCAATTAACCCACAGAAGCATTGTGAGGAGAAAAGGAGGAAAAAAACACTCGCACACATCCCTGCTTACACATGAGACACTCAACAGCATCCTTGACAGACGCCAGCTGTGCCTTTCAGACTGCAGAGCAGATGGCTCACCTGCAGTGTCTGCTGAGCACCCTCAACACATTACCCTGCAACCCATCCAGCACCAGGCCAGGAAAACGGCTAAGAGAGTGCATTAGCTTGTTATACCAGGTCTAACTTATTTCTTTTTCCAGTCCTTCCTTCCTACTTCTCTCCTAACCATTACTGCTCTTACATTCTCCCACATCTCCTTCTCTCATGCCATTCTTTCCCTCTTAAGTTGCTACTTCCACTCCTTTCTCTTCCCTCTCTTTGTAGTTCTTTTTCTCCACCTTTCTCAGTTCACCTCTGTTTCACCTTTAGGACACCTGAGTCGGTAACACCTTCCCAGAAACCCTCACAACTTCTTGCATCATGCGCTAAACACAAACAAACTCTGATTAAAGGCATCACACCTTCCTCAAACATTCATGAATAAAACAGGTTGATGAACATTGGGAAAATGAACCATCTTCTTTCCACCCTGCAATCCATTTTCTAACTTTATAGCACAATCATTTGGAGTGCTCGCACCACCCTATTGTGTCTCTCCACCTGTCCTGAATGGTGCCCACAGTTCAGAGGAGCAGCAGGGAATGTGTTACTTCCAACAACAGCAGTTAAGGGGAGGGTGGTGTGCGTGTTTAGGAAAAGGTGAAGCCTGTGACTGCATATGCATGTTTTTGACTGTAAAAGTTGATGTTCTCTTTTAGTGAGCTTTGGGAATATGGTCAGAAGGAGGCTATAAATCTTTTATACGGGGATTTTTTTGGTGCAGAAATATTTCAAGGGTGGCAAATTTACAGTGTGTGTGTTTATACAGAAGACTCCTTCTGGTGTGACAGGGTAGCTACAGTTAGCGACTATGTTGTTTGCAGAATGAAGAATTGGGAATGATTTTCAGTTTAAGTTGAAGACCTAAGCTGCTGCTTAGATGGAACAATTAATAGAAGGTTTTGCGCTGCTTAAAGGTTAGCAGGCAAACAGAAAACGCACTTAAATTTACAATAATACAATTTCTTTTTTTTATCAAGCTAGGATTAGCCAGCTAGCTGCTATTACTAGGTAACCAGCAAATTTTATATCTGTGTGAGCAGTTCAGCTTGTGTTACCAACTTCAGCCAGATAAAAAACTATTTGTATCTAGTGAAACCTTGTGCACACACGGCATAAGTACAATTTAGGTGGGGAAAAAAGCTTTTTAAACCTCAAAGTTGCACAAGCTAATACTCAAATCATAACAACAGTTGCCTCAAGGTGCTTAATATTGTAAAGATACTACAATAATACAGAGCACCCTCAAAAATCAGGCAACCCCCTATGAGCAAGCACTTTGGCAACAGTGGGAAGGAAAAACTCCCTTTTAACAGGAAGAAACCTCCGACAGAAGCAGGCTCGGGGGGGGCAACGATCTGCCGCAACCGATTGGGGTGAGGGAAGGAAGACAGGATAAAAGACATGCTGTGGAAGAGAGCCAGAGATTAATAATAGCTCATAATTAATAGCCACCAACAGCCTAACTTTATTGCAGCATAACTAAGGGTAGGTTCAGTGTCACCTGATCCAGCCCTAGCTACAAGCTTTGCCAAACAGGAAAGTCTTAAGCCCAATATTATAAAGACATAGACATATGTCTGTCTCCTACATCAGGACATCCTGGAAATAACAAAGTAATAAATAGATAAGTACATGTCACCTTCTTGGCCAGTTACAATGTCTCAAACACAAATTTAGATCACTCCATGAAGTCCTGTTGCACTTGTACATCTTTGGGTCATAATCTGTGGTCTGGTTCTTATCACCAGTGATGATCCATTACGCAAATTGATGATTACCTTGAAGGGGCGATGTGCCAAAACTGGTTTGGGTCTCTTTTTTTTTTTTTATAGGTGGCACTGAGTAACTTTTTCATCGGACCTAGGATAAGTACCTGCAAAAAAAAACTGCAAAAATGTTCTTCATGTAACGTATGTGCTCACCTCAGCCAGTCTGGACTGTTTATGGCTGACTTCATGTTTGCCAATAGGCGCCAGTTGCTGTAGGGTGTTGCGGTTGTTGGTGAGTGCACGTGTGAGCCGTGCAAATTTGGTCCATCCTGAAAAAATGAGAAGTCAATTATTGCCAAAATCACAGTCATTACACTTTAACCGGTCTTGTCATCTATGTCAGCTGATACTTTATGAGCTACACAAACACAATCAGACCACAGGCAGCTGTATGTTACCACTGCTCATGCAGTTTCCCTGCTCAAGGCTCACAGCAGTTCATCAGATTTTCACAAAATGTTGTCTACTGAATCACCGTGCTTTCATTGGAAAGCAGCACAGTTTGCTTTAGGAGGTCAGAGCCATGGATTAAGTAACAGGACTTTCACCTACTACAGTCATAATTCCAATATTTTTCAAACCACTGACACTTTCTTCATGCCAATTGTACTCTTAATTAAAACTGAAGCTACTTAGGATTATGAAAAGATCGTGGTAGCATTTAAGCACCTGTTTGACAACTTCAGCCTGTGGGGAGCCTCACACTTCTAGCACAGCAGCAAAACCCTTCCTAGTAAAATACATTATTTGTCTTCATGTAAACAAAAAGATGGCATTTTGTCTCCATTTCACTACTTCATGTAAACACAGCGCAAAACCCACAGCCATCCGGTGTGCCCTGACCACACAGGAATCACTGAAAATTTTGCACATTTTTGTCTTGTGAAAAAGCAAAGGCTTAGGGAACCTGCTGTCTGTATGTACTAGTCAACCAGACATTATTCCTAGGAAAATTCCCAGTAATTTGATATTTATTCACACCATCATCTGCGGTCGACCGCATGCAACACTCAGAGATCCATACACCCTGATAGTCGTGAAAATGGCAGAACTGAACTGTCATTGTAAATTGTCCCAGTTCAAAAGAAGAAAAAGGGTAGAGAAGAGCCGTCCATAACCAAACAAACACAGAAATGCTGAAGACGCATGGAAAAAACTAGAAAAACAAGGATTATGATGAATGAACACTTCTTGAGCCCTCTGAGCCCTCGTGTTTGTGCGTCTTTGTCATTTCTTAAAAACATGGTCATAAGAAATATTCCAATAAATAAAGATACTAAAAGCTGCAGTTTCTTTGGAAACAGATTCATATAAAAGTTTGTAAGTCTACCTAAAAATACAGCCTTGTCAGCAGAGGTCACTTCAGTAATGACGGCCACACCTTTCTCAGTGAGAGCAAACACAGTTTTGGAGGTCAGGTGCTTCCTGCTCTATTGCTCTAAAAATAAAATCAAATATTTCAAAGAGAAAGGGGTCACACAACAGGGGCACATCACTTACAGTAGTCACACGTCGTGATCGACCCGGCCCTTTGAAGAAACCATTACGAATAAAAAGCAGACTTTGAAATGGCTTTTAACCCTCAGGCCTCCAGCTATGTGAAAATCCTCCTTTCATTCTCTGTTAGAATGGAGAGAAACTCAGGCGCTCACTTCTTTGTGCAGCGGTGTAGAAAAGCCTGAGACAATGCTGTGCTGATGTCAATACGGGAGGAATATCAACACGACATCCAATTTATTCTGAAACCCAATCATCAGCTTCCCTCAAGCAAAACTGCTGCTGCAGCTATTGTAAAACTTACTGTACGGCTTCAGTTTCTAAGGCTTCTTTTCTTTTTCTACACATTTTTAAAGTTGGTGTTGCACAACCACAGAAAATGAGCCTTAATTTTTAGCTAAAATGAGTATTTTAAAGTATATATTCTTCAGGGAAATTGCTGCAGCATATGTACACTAACATTGATTGTGTAACTCACTGTATAATATACTGTATTTTGTTGGCTGTTGATCAATTTCACTTGTTCGTCATAATCCCTGCAGTGTGTTCCTATCTTTTCTACCTCACATTCTACATCAGTGCGCTTTAATATTACCTGTATACTTCCTACATTTATGCTGTAATGTTACCTATTACCTTTTAACAACTACAGCTAATACATTTGAAGATTCTAATTTCATATTTACACAAAAATACATGTAAACCCACGAAACTTCCTGCGGCTCAGGCGGAAGACTGGGTCGGCTACCGATAGGAAGGTCGGTGAATCAATCCCTGGCTTCTCCAGTTTGTATGCTGAAGTATCCGCGGGCAAGATACAGAAAAAGGTACAGAGTTCCTCCCTGCATCCATCAGAGTATAAGTTCATGTCTGAATGATGCTATATGAACAACTTGTCACATCCTCAACAGAAAAAAGTGCTTTACCTGTCCATTTACCAAATTCACATCCCATCTCGAAAGGCTTAATTTGTTATCTTTGGGGTTGTTTTTTTAAAAAAGGGTGTAGTTTTTTCTTTCCTCAAACTTTGGACTGTTACAATTAAACTGTTAAATTACAAATAATTATTACTCATCATTATTATTATTAATAATATTATTCCTATGTTTCATTCACAAGAACACAGCTGTGCTCACTTGTGTACATGTAAATAGATATTGCTGTGTAAACAACATTCTGTGCGTAGATGTGTTGAAATGGTTGCAGCGGAGTACAACAAATACAACACATGGGGCAATTGGGAAGTGATGAATAAATACAGCCCCAGAGCCTACAGGTGGATGCTGGCTGGGGGAGGGGGTTAAAGTAACATGCAGTGATGCTGAGCAGTAGCAGCTGTCAGAGGTAAAGCTGGGAACTTATGAACATAAATGTACTGTCAAAATGAAAGTAAGGCAACCAGTTTGGGAAAACTATGAGACAAATTACTGTGTAGGACACGATGCAGCTCGAGTTGATTTGGCGCATAACTGCCAATTTTTAGTCAAGGTGGCTACTGATTAAAAAATGTCAATGTTGCTCAGTGGATGCTAAATGTACCTATTAATAATATGAGATAATAATAAAAACACAATATTCTGAGACTCCTAGTTGGTCTCTCTACTGACATCATTGCACAAGTGAGACAGGATATCAGCCAAAAAAACACACTAACCCAAATAACTTCAACAAGCAAGGGAGAGAGCAGAGGCCCTCAATGCTGACCCACATTAATGTAGCACTACTAATGCATTATAACACTAAAAACCTTCTTCCTCAGAATTTTTAGGGACACACTGCACACAATGCTGAGTTTCTAACTTATAAGAAATCAACTTGCGGACAAAGCCTTTCAAGATGTGTTATCTTTGGCATTTTTGTAGATTCAGCTGAAGAAACTGGAACATATAAAATGTTTTTGATAGAGGCTGAAAGTAATTAATTCAGCAAATTTAATGTTTAGACAACACTGGATCATCCTTGAGTTGGGTGCCTTTTTATACTTGAATGGCTCATAGATCACAATAATAATAATAATAATAATAATAATAATAATAATAATAATAATAATAATAATAATGATCATGATGATAATATTAAACATTTCTTCTGAAAAAGGTACAAGGACTAGACTGAAAATGCATGAAAAAGCAGTAAAATGTCCAAAGACAAGCAATGTTTACGTTGGCTAACAAGCTGCTAACAATATAAATTAGATCATTACTAATAAAAATCTTGCTGCCTATGCTTTTCAAGTAGTTTTAATTTACTATGAAGCTGACCACTAGGAGCTGTGATCGAGGCTTACATTAACTAAGCATCCTTTTCACTCATGATAGCAAATTAATAGTCCACAACTAACTCTCTTAAACAGGGAAATCCATCATGACACGTGATTTGTTGTGAAACCTGAACTATTTCTAACACCTAAATCTTGTATATGAATTTATGTTAGAAACCGTGACAAAGAATGATTTGACTGTAGCGCCTTTCCTTTGTGATGTAATTCTTATCATTTTCATATCATTCTTAAGACTTTTTTTCTGTGCTGCCTATAATGGCTGAATAGTTCACGGTAAAATGCGCATGCATTACAGAGCAGCACAATGCATTAACAGAAAAACAGCGAGCCGCTGGCAGAGAAAATGAGCCAATGTGCTCTTTTTCATACAAACACTTTCATCATGAAGCAAAATGGGAGAATTTGTCTTGCTGGCATTCACGTAAATACATACTGACAGCCCACAGGCTTCCACTGTACATTGTGGCAAAAACAGGACAAAAGGCCCTCACAGAGAGCATGAAAGGAAACTGCAGGACAAGAAAATAAGCGGTCTTTTTCACGGTTAATAGTGCTGCGTCTGCCTATGTTTCACAAGAATGCAGCAACCGTGTGATTTATCAGACTTGAAATGGAAATTGAAAAAAAGAAAAAGGCATTCGGCTAAAAATAACACAGGAGCGGAACTAGTGCACGCACCAAACAAAGTAGAGTCTGAGATTAGATTTTGGTTGAAAATACTACACACAGCAAACTGCATTGCATGACATGCGCCTTTATAAACAGCACATGTGGGACACATGACTTATATACATGCAGTGCAAAAGCACATCATTCTTTTTCATTTTGCAATACCTGGAAGTGCAGGTGAAAAAAGATGTCCTGTAAGAGGTGAGATATAGAGATCACAACAGAGTTTGGCAAGAGGTCACAGACGGTTTTAAAGATTAACTCTACATCCAAGTATGGCGCAGGTTGAAGCAAACTGCAGCAAATCATGTTTGTTGCTAAGAATTGAGTGGAATTAAACAGCCCCAAACATTTTTATGACTTAGAGGATAAATTCAACAAATGTTAACAATATTGCTGCATAATGCTGCATAAAAAGAACCCTAAATTTAGCCAAAATGGAAGTTCGATTGTTAAATGAGTGTTATGTGGCCATTGAAATGCCGTGAAGTTTACAGCACACAGTTTTTGTGCTGATGGAAATGCCATAATCAGTCAGCAGAGTGTTGGCAAACGTTTCCCAGCCTCAGCACTCGCCAACCCTGCTCTGTAAATTTACGTGGTCTGCCACTTCATGACTGAGCTGCTCTGGGTCTTCACCTTGCAGTAATGCCACTTCCAGCTGATCGTGGAATACAAGCAGAGTTGTTACAAAGATGGCATTCAGTTACAGCACTGTGGTTGAATCAAGTGGACACAAATGCTTGTAAAAGCAGACTGCATGGTTAGGTGCTGTGATTTTATACACGCGTGTGTTCGGGACTGAAAACACCCAAATTCAAA